TTATTTTTATATAGCGACGCAGACGGCTTTTCATTTCTAAGTTGGACTACATAGTACCACTATTTCCCAAATTTTCACATACAAATTACAGATTTTGTTTTGTCCCACTTGTACGTAGAAGAAAATAACCTTTCAAACCAAAAAAAGAAAGGAAAATATATAACCTAAAATGAACAATGGATTATTTTTCGTTCGTATATACCTTTTGGAATTTGCATCTAAACTTCCCTACTAATTCTGCCACATAAACATGCAACGGCAGTATAAATCGCAGCGCCACCGTGAGTCCATCAACAATACCATAGAGGCAGCTATCCTTGAAGCAGATGAAAAGGGTGTGAGAGTGATGAGTCTTGGGCTGATGAACAATGTAAGTTCATTTAATTGAAAGCCACCATATACATGATTAAGTAACTAATTAACATACGATTAATGAGAGGGAGGAGCTAAACGGGTGTGGACAAGTGTACGTGCAAAAGCATCCGAAGCTGAAGATGAGGTTAGTGGACGGAAGCAGCATGGCAGCTACGGTGGTGGTCAATAGCATTCCCAAGGGAACCAGGGAAGTTGTGTTTAGAGGAAATCCAACAAAGGTTGCTTCGGCCGCTGTCTTTGCTCTATGCCAAAGAGGCGTCAAGGTATGTGATTTGTGAGAGTGGAATCTAATACTCAATTCTCAAACCAAACAAAAATTAATGCGTAAGCATATGTGTTTTCTTATACGAATGTGTAAATCATATAAAAATGAAGGGTCTTGGATATACAAAAGCTAGAGCTTAATTAACCAAAAGGTGATATATGTATCATTTTTAGGTGGTAGTGTTGCGCGAGGAAGAACACAACACGCTCATCAGATCTGGGGTCGTCAAGAATTTGGTATTGTCTACAAACAATTATTACTCCCCAACGGTGTGGTTGGTTGGGGATGGGATAGGGAAAGAAGAGCAGATGAAGGCAAAAGAAGGAYCCCTTTTTGTTCCCTTTTCTCAATTCCCACCTAACAAACTCCGCAAAGACTGTTTTTACCACTCCACTCCAGCAATGCTTGTTCCCAAGTCTGCTGAAAACATCGACTCCTGTGAGGTACAGCTTTGAATATGTACATAGATATGTGTTGCTTTAAGAACTCTGATAGATAGATATGCGCATGATTATTGAATGCATTGTCATATATATATATAGAATTGGCTGGGGAGGAGGGTGATGAGTGCGTGGAGAGTAGGGGGCATAGTGCATGCGCTTGAGGGCTGGGAGGAGCATGACTGCGGCAATACTTGCAACTTCTTCCGTCTCCACGCCATCTGGGAAGCTGCTCTCCGCCATGATTTCCAAC